CCAGTGAGAATTAGGAAATGACCATTAGATTTAGCAATAACATGGTCATGTTGGCCTTGCAAATGTTTTAGTAGAGTTCTGTGGGCAGCCATTGGTGAATTTAAGAGAGAATGAGAGAAAAGGAACTGAAGAACTGAAAAATGGGGGAGAGGCTGGAAGGAGATGTGAGTCAAGAAATAGCTTTTATCCATCATTTTCTCTTTGCTACCTAGTTTAAAGGAGGCATCCAAAAATACCAACTGAATAAATCAAGTTTACTATTAAACAGCAGTTTGCTCTGAATACACTGACTATTAAAGGTCATATTTATCATGCAGGCTCTCATTATGCACTGAAGAAATATATTCCTTTTCCCTGGAAAAGAGACAGACTTGAGCAATTAGATGCTGTTCAACTTACAGAGAATTCAGATGTCCTATTATATTTCATGAACATTAGTGACCTTCTGTGGCAACTTCCACCACTGTGCATGGTCTAGAGTTAAGACACTTTATTGCCTTGCTAACCTATCATCTATCCTAGTTGAGTTTCTAAGCTGTCTAAGCTAAAAGATTTGTAAAGCCCTAGAGGAAAGCAATTTTTAAGAATTAGATAGATGAAAGCAAGACACAAGATCCAAACCACCAAAGCAGCTTTCCTGCTTATATTTAAATCCATAAAATGAAATAAATATTTTCAATCTTTAAGCCATGCATGGCCATTCTTGTCTGGTTTTCATTGAAAACTGGAAAGACTATTCCCAAAGTGACTGGTTAAGAGATTAAAAACACAAAGCAGAACAATGATGGCAAGTGAAGGCATGCTATGTTAGAGTACAGACAATAACAAACTAACAGCTAAACTTGCCTCTGACTCATGGAAAAATATGTGAAATTAGGTTATCCAAGCTTAAGAGTCATGAGTCACACAATTTAGAATACAGCTGTCAGGAAAGTTATATGTACTTCTGAATTAAAATAATAAGGAATGGATATAGATATATTTATGGAAGCTTCAATCTATTACCACCATAAAAAAGTATATTGTGCATTATTTCTTTGAGAGTCTATGACACATATCAATAAGCATAATAAATGTCTGACTCAGTTAACTACTAAGAGAAGCTACAATTTGTAGTAAGCAGTAGTTTTCATGTTTTAAGTTTGAGCTTTTTAAAATCATATCTGATTCCTACATCTAAATTAGATGAGAGCATACTTTAATAAAATGTTTGTTTTGGTAGAAAATCCAAACTTGGCAATTAGTATAGCTGGAAAATACTTAGAGATCCAATACATAGTTGAAGAACAACATGTAAAATTCTACCCGTTTTCAGCCAATAAAGGTCCATCTGTCATCCTAACTGCTAGTAAACCACAAGAGGCAAATAAATCATTTGTCCCCGAAATAACTGCTTCTAAACCAGACTGTGGCCAGAGCTTGGTCAGTTAGTTCATGCTGCAGAATGAGGGGGAAAAAATCAATTTAATCCTGTCTTGGTTCTACACTCATAATCTAAAACAAAACCATAGCATATAAAAATAAAAATCATAATAGCAAAGGTGTCATGGGGAGAGGTAATAAAAATGGAGAGGTGTCACCAAATTATGAAAGGTAAAATGTGGACGAGATAGTAGATAACAATTTCTAACTTACTGAGAACTTACTATATGCCAAGCTTCATGATTAGCACTTATTGTATCTTTTTAAATTCCTATTCACAGTAACTCCATAGAGAAGTCAGTATGATTACCCACACTTTATAAAGAAGCAAACCAAAGGTAAATATGTTAATTATCTCACCCAAGGATATAGTACTAATAAATGGGGGATCTAGTTTTCCAATCCAAACTGTCTAGGATTCCAAAATCCATGTTCTAATAGTATAGGATTACCTTTTCTCTCCTTCAGTCCTACCACCAAACAAATGCCTGCTGGTTCTGCCCTCGGAGATTTGTAGGTGCAATAGCAGAAAACAACCACAAAGTTTTAGGAAAACCCACCAAATTATCATGTCTTTGTGTAGGAAAATAAATGTCAAGTGTAACAATGCTGAAGCACCTCAAGAAATTAAAACTCCAACCGTTGGGTATCTAATTAAATCAGTCCTCAAAATTTAGCTTTACCATGACTGAATTGTGAAAATTGCTTTCGTGCTTCTGTGCATATTTTGTAGATTTTATTTTCCCTTCTACTGTCACAGTTTTTTATTATAGCATGGAAACGTATATGACTGTTAACTCTCCACAGTATTTGAACAGCTTAGAACTACCGAAAATACAAAACTTTCAATTGAATATTTCTCTTGAAGATGCCTCTTGGTAGTTTCAGTACAGTTCTCTCCTAAATGGTAATTCTTTTTTGTTGTCTGACACCAACAACAAGTATATCTACGACCAATAAGAGTTTGAGAAATATGAATGCTCTGAACATCACTGAGTGGTGAGGCGAGAGAGAGACTGTGCAGAAGAGCTGACAACACACAGTTCAGCCAGACAGGTCTGTATCTCACCTGTGCCACCACCTAGCAGTGTGACTTTATTTAATCTCTTGAAGTCACGTTGTTTTCTACATAAAATATAGTTTGTAGTACACGTGTCATAGAAATATAGCAAAAATTAAACAATATAATATTTTCAAAGTTTAGGAAGGAACTTCTTAAGCATTTAATTTGTAGGGACTATTATCTTTGACAAAGATAGGGTTTGTACACACTTTTTAGTGGAAATCAGCACATAGGAAATTAATTTTTTACTTTGTTTATTTCAAAGGAACCCTTTATAGTGACAATGTTTAAGAACCATTTTACATGTAAGTGCCAAATAGAACTAATTGGACAAAAGGAAGGGAACTGGCAGGAAAACATAGTGTGATTAATAAACAGAAACCTCATTTAAATTTGAGTTGTGAGAGCCCATAGGAGGATTACTCACTCACCACTTACAGCCAAAAAGGAAGAGACATACTTTCCATGTCCAACAGGAAGAAGTAGGATCTTCTCCTTGCCCAGCAACCACTTAGCCAATGAAAGACTGCTACAACTTAGCCAATGAAAAGCCATAGACACTTCAAACTCCCAGTCTCCTTCAGTGGACACTTTGTTTATAACCCCTCTGAACTGCCTTTTCCTCTGTAAAAGGAAGTTTCTCTTTCATTCTTTGAACATGCATGTGGTTCACTATTAGAATATGTCCCAAATTGCAGTTCTTTGTTGTTCCTGAATAAATCCAATTTTCTGGAGAAATATCTGGTTGCTGTCTGTCTAAAGTCAACAATAGTAAATTAACAAAACAGCAAAATGTAAAATTTAGCTTAAAAATGTTTTCTCTACTCAAATTCCTTTCTAGACAGCAGCAAGATTAGCTCCTCTGGGGATAGTATAAGTGAGCCAGCTATTAATTCCTCCAAATCTGGGAAGGGCACAAACCATTTCCTAGACCTATCCAAAGTAGGGGGCACCTATGGTCTGATAAAATCTCATGAATATAGAATTCTAAGCATCCAATCTCTTTGCCTTCATCCAACTCCTTCCTGAACTTAAATATTTCTTGATATAATAGAATGTTGTTAGTTATTTCACTAGATGCCAAACCACATATTATTTTTTTTTCAAATTAAATGGGTCAATAAAATTATATAGCTTTCAAGTGTACATTTCTATGATACATTGTCTGTATATTGTATTGTGTGCCCAGCTCCCAAAGTCAAATCTTCTTATATCACCATTATATTTGACTTCTTTTATCCTTTACTATCCCCTACCTCCCTTCCCTTTGGTAACCACCATGCTTTTCTCATAATCAATAATAAATAATTGTATTACATTTAAACAGAATGCAAAATTCGAAGCAATGAAGAAAGTTTTTCCTTTAAAGAATTGCAATTATTTATCCAAATAACTTCTCTTTTTTCTTTAACACTCCCTTTCTGTTTTTTTTTTATCCTCTAAATGTAGATATTTTTCTGACCTCTCTCTCTCCCCAAGTACTATTCTCAAGAGGCATATCAAATTTGTAGCAGTTTTCCATCCTACATCTCAGCACTGGTATCAAACTAGTTATGTATCTATCTCCTCACCCTATAATTTGTTCAATTTTATTTGCATATCTTAAGCACATTCTTAAACATGCAGTCCCTGTTCTGTTACCTTAGTTAAAAATGGAATAAAATCTTAATCCCTATCATCAATGGGGAATATTAAATAACTTATAAAATATTATGTAGTCATTAAAAAGAGTAAGATATATAAAAAGTATCATGAAAAGTTTCCCATAATATATTGTTGAGTGAAAAGAGAAAATTATAAAACAAACGATTCATCAAATATGTCAAACATCTATATTTGCCAAATTGTAGAATAAAATGTCTAGAAGAATATATGTTAAACTTTAAATAATTTGAAAAGGGGAAATGAGGAAAAGTTCCTATTTTATCTTATTTACTTGTGAATTATTTACTCATGCCATTTTTAGAATGCATCAAATAATGTTAAACAATGTGCAAAAATATTTGGTGATTCCATTAGTTAGCTAGCCCCTTTCATTATTATTTCATTTTATTTATTTATTTTTTACCTTATTTTCATTTTTCTCCCCCATTTGTAGGATGGGTATCAATGACACTGGACTTTTTCTTGTCTAAACACTGGATTTTCTTATGCATCTACCTCAACCCTACTCTTTAAAGAAATTCAGTCTCTTTAAAGAAAATCATGCACAGATTATATTTTGGCACATAATCCACAAAAGAAAAAGTGCAATTATAAAAAAAAATTATGCATTTTGAATTAAAAAAGATTTAATAAATTTTAAATATATTACTCTTTGATTTTTAAAATAGTATAAAATAATAATTAATAGTTACAACGTTTCTGTACAGATAATCATATTTCTCTGCAAAAAGATGGCTTACTTAAACAAGGATCTTGTGATAGCCTTGAATGACTTTTAAAATGAGGTGGAGTATAAAAAAGTAAGATATGTATTTCTCTCTAAAAAACATTTAAAAAACAAGTTTCTTACCATTGTGAGGGTAAATGGATGGTTTTCTAATGCAGACACACTGGGGCAATGTAGAGTAATATACTGAAAAGCAACAAACAAATTATAAATGACTAAGAGAGAAGTTTTAATTTTCTAATATGACATTTGTATGCTAATTTTCAAAAATTATGTAAGAAAAAAAGGTATTTTATGCCCTAGCTGGTTCACTCAGTGGTTAGAGTGTTGGCCCTTAAACTGAAGGGTCTTGAGTTTGATTCCCAGTCAAGTGCATATACCTGAGTTGCAGGTTTGATCCCCAGTCCTAGTCAAGGCAACCAATTTATCAGTCTCTCTCAAATCTATGTTTCTCTCTCTTTATCTCATCCCCCCATCTCCACTGTCTCTAAAACATCAATGAAAAAAAAAATCCTAAGAATAAGAGCAAAAAAGAATAAAAGATATTTTAAAAGTTGCTGAACAATGACTCACCTGGCCAGGTCTTGCTTTAAAATTTTCTTTGACCATTCGAATTTCCATGACATCTGAGGGGTGACTGATGACAGAGATGATGGTGACTGGCTTATTACTCCGGATGCACCTGTAAAGCCTTTCAGCACAATACAGGCACAAAGGTCCAGAAATCCAAAGCCAAGTCTACAGAGAATTTTTGAAATGCACTTTAAAAAATACTTGCATTATAAGATTCTTTATATCTTGTCTAATTGTTTATTTCATACACTACAGTAAAAATATTGTAATCTGTTATTTATAGTTATAAAAGCATAATATGCTAATTAGACTGGACAGCTGAACAACCTTCCAGACGTCATTCCGGATGGCCTTCTGGATGAAGCCATAGCAGCGGGGGCTGAGGCAGAGATGGTTAGGGGTGATCAGGCAGGCAGGCAAGCAGGTAGGGGCGATGAGGCGAGCAGGCAGAGTCAGTTAGGGGAGATCAGGCAGGCAGGCAGGTGAGTGGTTAGGAGCCAACAATCCTGGATTGAGAGAGGGATGTCTTACTAACAGTTTAGACACGATCCCGATCCCTGCAGGATTGGGCCTAAACTGGCAATCGGACAACTCCAGGCATCTTGGGTTGCAAGAGGGTGCAGGCTGGACTAAGGGACCACCCCCTTTTGTGCTCCAGGCCTCTAGGTTTAAATAAAGTGTAAACAAATAACAGATTCTTATAGCAAGTTATTCAAATAAAGAGTAAAGTATAAAATAAAAGGTATAGTACTAGCAAGACCCTATCCGCAAACTGTCACTCAGGGCCTAACTACCATTAAACGTAAATCATACATTGTTTCATATACCCTTCTCTATACACAACTAAAGAGAGATAAAAGGGAAGTTAAGCCTGGCCAGAGTGGCTCAGTGGTTGCGTGTCAACCCATGAGACAAGAGGCCACCTGTCTAATCCCAGTCAGGGCACGTGACCCAGTTTGGGGCTTGATTTTCAGTGAGGGGTGTGCAGGAGGCAATCGATCCCTCTCCCTTCCTCTCTCTCTAGAAATCAGTAAAAAACATTTTTAAAAAAGGAAGTTAAAGCTCAAATAAATTGTGCCAGTTCAATGTTTGTTAAAAAAAACAAAAAAACAAAAAAAAACTACCTAGATATTTTAATGCATAATGTGTATGCATAATGCACATACACAAAATGTAAAATATGTGAACATGTTTTTTAAATATGGTATCAATGAGGCATGCTGTTTACAACTTACTTTCACATCATAAATCTAACATGAACATCTAAGATTATATTTAGAATCTGGAAAGCGTAACAATTTTGCACGTGTGCTGGAGAGATTGCCCTGCATACTCTGGGGAGTCCAGAAGGCTGTGTAGCCAAGCTTTCTCCTAAACTGCACACTATACTTCCCTCAGCATTTGCAGACTTCTAACCCAAACTTACCTTAGTGGTCACTTTTTAAAACCTGCTTACACAATTACCCTGGACCTTCCTCTCCTCCTTTTCCTGACATTTAGTTTGGCACCATGTGTAAGCATCACAGGACAAGCTTTGCAATGCAGCAGCAGTTTTGCAACTTTGGGACATCAAGTTGCACATAAGTAAAATGGGAGTCACAATACCTGCCCTTCCTAACATATTGCAAGAACGTTTGGAAATTGTAATGCTTAATAGAAATCTAGAGGATTAATAATAAACACAAGACTAACAAACACATTCCAAAGCCATCAACAAATCACTCTACTTTTTTACTCCTCTTTCTTCTTTTATTTTAAATTAAATTTATTGGGGGAAACATTGGTTTATAACATGATTTAAACTTCAGGTGTGCAACTTTATAATATAATATCTATATACTCTTAGACAGAAGTCTAGTGTCTTTCTGCCACCTTGCATTTGACCACCTTTATTTTATAATTTACTTTCTTCTTCTTCAAACAGACACTCGACGTCACTATTTCCTCTCCTTCCACTTGGTACAAAGATTACAAGGCATAATTCCCACCTGGGCAGCTCCAAAGCCTCAAGGGAAAGTACGGCCCTTGGGAAAGTATTCCAAGAGCAAGCATTTTCCTCAAAGACCTAGTTTTGCACTCTATTTCTGTGGAGGGTTCATTTGTAGAGTTTGATCAAGGTATTTTACAGATGCAAGCAGCAATTTCCTCATTAGAAAATTGAGGATGTTAGTAGTTGAGGATTATAGTAATAGTTGTTGTGACTATTGAAAAAATTATGTATACAGTTTATTTAATAGAAATATCTGCCTAGCAGATAATATGAAGCCATCAATAAATGTTTAATTTATTATTTATAATATTGTACCATAACAGTCTACTATACTATGATAAATATTAGTTTTAGATCTTTCACTATTGTTTTTGATATTCATCCTATTTTTCCCAATGGATGGGGAGCGTATCTTTGTTATCTTCCTTGTGGCAAACACCAGTGCCATAGTATATAAAGATCATATGGTCAGTTATATTCCATAATGCCATAGGTCTTTCTCCTTGAACTGTCAGCTGCCTATCATGGAATGCAGTAACTTGCTATTGAAACATTCTAAAATGTTCTGTAAGAATAACTGATTTATGTACTTCAAAAACATGTCTGACCGATTGCTATGGAAATACTAACTTTGCAGAGACCATCAAACACATAAAATTAATCTGACCTGTGGAAAGTTAGCTTGAAACCTGGGCTCTTCCTGACAAATCTTCACCGATGTGTTCCGGGTAACCTCATCTGGTTTTGAAAACCCTCCAGGAAAAGATTCATGAAAATATTCTGAGAGATTTTCAGGTAAGTGAGTATTCCGGTAGCGGGTTCCATTAAGATCGATGCAGCCTGGAGGGTGGGTATCTATATTGGTTTGATACTTCAACAATCCTCTAAAATTAAATTAAGAAAAAATAAGTAAAAACAGGAATATGAAAAAAAAAATTTTAATCAGGAAACAGTATAAAAAAATAAACTCTTCTTATTATTAACTTTACATAGTATTTATCCAAAAAGTGTTTCTCATGTATCTTACTTAAGAACAATAGAGAAAATTCAGCTCCACTCCTCCTCCCACACCCAAAATGCCACAAATAAATGGAAGGGACAAACACATTTGATCTTTCTAAGTATTTTTTATTTAAAATATATTTTATTGATTTTTTACAGAGAGGAAGGGAGAGAGATAGAGAGCTAGAAACGTCGATGAGAGAGAAACATCGACCAGTTGCCTCTTGCACACCCCCCACCGGGGATGTGCCCGCAACCAAGATACATGCCCTTGACTGGAATCGAACCCAGGACCTTTCAGTCCGCAGACTGACGCTCTACCACTGAGCCAAACTGGTTTCGGCCTAAGTATTTTTTAATTTGCCAGCCTTTTTTCCAAATCCATTAGGCATTCATATAATCACAAGTTTCATTTCAATAAACACTATAATGATGGGTATTTTTCTATATCTTCAAATACAAATGAAAAAAACACAGGAATCATTTGGTTTGGCTAAGATTGAATAAAACAGGCCTTATTGGACAGAGAAATGTTAAATAAACATGACAGAAAACTGGAAGCTTGCATCTCTTACGATCTGAAAACAATTAATACATAGTAATCAGATCATAAACTGATTACTTGTTTTTTATTTCTCCATAAACAAGATCACATAAAAAGCTCAATATAAGAAATCAGATAGGCCAAAATCCTAAAATCTTATTCAGATTGTGCCACATTTTGTGACATTCTAAGACATGATATTCAACTTTCTGTTTTTTGCATTTCTTTCAATAAGGAATAAAGTAAGATCTATGTCATGGGGGTAGTGCATCAAATGATATATTGTACAGAATATTTTTTCTTTTGCACACAAAGATACAATTTTGGAAAGCATTGGAAATTTTTCAGTGTTTTGCCATTTTATTTCAAAGACATTGAAATATGTATTTCTAAAATTATGTTTTCTAGTTGGCAAGGGTATGTTTTAAAATTACTCTTCATGCTCCTAGGTAATTAATTTTAGTACATTAAAGAATATAGTACATATTAGGAGCATCTAAGTAGTGGGCTGTATCCTATCTAATGAAAGAGAAATATGCAAATTAACCATCACTCAGCTACATGCACAAGACACACCCACCAGCCAATCAAGAGTGATTATGTAAATTAACCCAACCAAGATGGCTGTGGCTACAGAGCTAGCAGGAGACTTGGGTTTTCCTGGCAATGTAGGAAGCTTGGCTTCCCAGGCCTCCACTCAAAGTTACAAAATTTCAATTATAGAAGAGAAATAAATCCCAACAGAAATGGTGGCATCCAGGGAGCTGGAGAGAGCAGGAGGCTTCAGTTGCCCCAGGGATGGAGAAAAACAAGCTTCTGAAGCCCTGGTCTGCCTTGGCCTCCACTTAAGGCTACAAAGTTTCAATTATAGAAGATAAATAAATCCCAGATCCCAGGGCCTCTGCTTGGGTCACTAGGGGGAAATGGCTGGTATGCAAATCACCACAGGCCCCTCATCCAGGCCACCCCATTCCCCAAGGGAATCCCCACCCTGATCCAAGACACCCTTCAGGGCAAACCAGCTAGCCAGCACCCATGCACCAGGCCTCTATCCTATCTAATAAAAGAATAATATGCAAATCGATCATTAGTCCAACACACAAGATGGCTGCCCCCATGTGGTCAAAGATGGCTACCCCCATATGGACATAAGAGGGCTGCCACAAGAGGGCTGCCACAAGAGGGCTGCCACAAGAGGGCTGCCACAAGAGGGCTGCCACAAGATGGCTGCCACAAGATGGCTGCCACAAGATGGCCAGCAGGGGAGGGCACTTGGGAGGGACCAGGCCTGCAAGGGAGGGCAGTTGGGGGTCATCAAGCCTGCAGGGGAGGGCAGTTAGGGGTGACCAGGCCAGCAGAGTAGGGAAGTTGGGGGTGACTGGGTCTGTAGGGAAGGGCAGTTGGGGGGACAAGGCCTTCAGGGGAGGGCAGTTAGGGGTGATCAGGCCAGCAGAGGAGGTTAGTTAGGGGCAAACAGCATGGTAAGGGAGAAGTTAGGCATCAATCAGGCTGGCAAGGAAGTGGTTATGGAGTGATTAGGCTGGCAGGCAGAAGTGATTAGAGGCAATTAGGAAGGCAGGCAGGCCAGCATTTAGAAGACAGCAGTCCTGGATTGTGAGATGGGTGTCCGACTGCCAGTTAGGCCCGATCCTACTGGGATCAAGCCTAAAACGGGCAGTCAAACATCCCTAGAGGGGTCCCAGATTGGAGAGGATGTAGGCTGGCTGAGGGACACCCCTTCCCCCCCCCCCCACCCCCCAAACTTCAAGCGTCAGGGCTCTAGTTTCATAATAAACATGAATAGACCACACATACATTTTTTTAAAGTAAGGCAGTAGACAGGGCCTAGGTTCAGAATAAATGGATAATATATAAATGTGAGCCAAGCACATAATCCTTCATAGAGTTCTAGTCAGATCATGTAATTCTTATGTCATTATGTTTGGAAAACCCATTAATTTGACTCAGCTTCCATTACAAATAATGATTTATTAAAACCTGTTGCTCCTATTGGCCATCCTGAGGGTGGGGGCTGACGAATGAACAGGCCAAAAATCTCAGGCATTCCTTCTACTAGCCAGAAGCTGAACAAACACTGGCGTAACACACTTAGTACTAGTCTAAGTGGTTCTATAAAGTTCAAAGAAGAGTCAAATCAGGCTGGCAAGGAAGTGATCAGGAGGTAATCAGGCTGGCAGACAGAAGAGTCAAATCCTCTAGAATCTTATAATCTAGTGGAAGATATGTTGGAAGTAGCTAAACATAAGTTAGACCACAGATAATAATTGGAATAAAGTGTTTTAGTAATATCTTATTAATGTATGGGAGATACCAGGACTAGTACAGAGTAGTTATATACATTTTACATTATTCTCACAACCATGCATGAAGTAGAAATTATTATTCCAATTTCACAAATTGAGATACTATTTTAATAGATAAAAATATACCCCAGGGACACTCAAATGATAAGTGGCAGAACCAAGATTTGAACCCAGGTCTCACTCAAATTCTATGTTCTTCTCTCATTAGATCCTAACAATTTCCTTCTTTAAAAGGTAAAGTAGGGAATTATTAATATTTATTAAGAAAGCATGTCAGGAATTTTTAAACATCTATTTCTCTCTTAAATTTCAAAACAAAATTATTATACAAGGTAAATATTTTTATTCTTATTACACAGATGAGAGATTTGGGTAAGAGATTAACTAAGTAGTAGCCAAAACATGGGATTCAGAAACCTCATGTCCCTAACTCCATATCATACAGAGCAAATTTGTTAAAGAAGTAATAATCAAAGGAAAGAGTTCAAATGAACAAAACCCTGGAAATAAGGTCAGATAAAGTGTGTGTGTGTGTGTGTGTGTGTGTGTGTGTGTGTGTGTGTGTGTGGTATGTGTTGGAAGGGGGCTAATGAACACCAGGCTAAGGAATGTTATTTATTCCTTCTCCAAAGTCATAACAGTGTTGTTCAGGTGAATACGACCCCATGTGCTAATGGTTCTTAGAATGATAAATGTTGTCACTCTGCAATACAACTCTTCAGGCCAGCTCAGTCAAATAAGCAGTGCTGCTGTTCTTGGTGTACAAAGTGGCCCATAATATTCTAGAATCCCTTTTAATCCTGAGGGACTTTGCTATTTTAAGCTACTCTCGAGGTGAATGGCATAGGCTACCTCTGTCATAAAACCCCCTTACAGTGTTCTTTTCTTTGTCTCAGTTTGTAATTGTTGCCAACAAACTGACATGTAAAAGAGAAAAGGTCTATAGATGGACAATGACAACAAACAAAAATGTAATGAAAAAAAAAATCAATCAAGTATGGAATCGCAGGTAATTTGGCTAAATTAGGTGGAAAAAACACAGATGGGTTCACAAGGAAGGGCGCTGGCAAATTTTGAGCTCAGTATTGAAAATACATTGAAAGCACATCGAAGAGGTGCTTGATGTGTCAATGCCTATTTTCATAAACTTCACAACAAATGTGTGTGGTAAAGATCAGTGGCCCCATCTTTGAATAGGGAAAACTTCTGGAGCTCTTCACTGATCTGCCAAGACCACACTGTCAGTCAGAGCCCAAGGCCATTCACCTGCAACAGGCCTGCCTAGTGCAGAATTCCCATTCTGATTATGGACAATATTCTGACGTTAAAGATCAATGTATGCACAGAACAAAAATTTATGGAAATACATGACCATCAAACAAATACTTTCATGATATTTTTCAAGTTTCATTTAAACACAGTAACTTACTTTTTAGTTACTAGTAAAAAATAGAAGTGCCTTTTTTTTTTGGTAATAATCCAGAATTTCTTAGAATTCTTAGAGGATACATTTTAAAGAATATACTACTTCTTTAAAATTATATTTCAATAATTTTGTTCTGAAAAAATTAAATAGGAATTTAAACTAGATATTCTGTATACTTGGATTGGTAGATGAAAATCAAATATCTCTTTAATCCACTTCATTGTAACCACATTTGTAAAATAATTGAATATGTGTGATTTTTATGATTGTTTTGAATCACTGATACATACATAATATAATTCAAGCAGATATAACTTACTTGTCTTCCTTTTCAGTTTAATATTATCTTCCTAAGTATCATGCAGTTCTGTGTCTACATGCCAAACAATACTGATCTTTCTTCTTGCCCCACATCAACAGAGATATTCATATTTTACATGTACTAATTTATTGTTTTGAACCTTATTAATTTAAATGATATGGCCCCTACCTTCAAGAAGCTTATGATTTAACATACTGTTTTCCAATAGAACTTTCTGTGATGGTGAAGAGTCTAAATCTGTGCTGTTCAATATAGAAACCATGAGT